CTTTGCTCTTTGCTAGGAAGCTCAGGGTCAAAAATCAGCCCATTTCTCAAACATGTAGTGAACCTCCTGGTACTTTTTAAAAATCCAGATACATGTCGATAGCGATTAAAGCAATAACACGAGCACAGGTATCACACCGTGAGCATTTTCTAAGAGCCAAGCCCAAACCTGAAGAACGTACGCACACGACAATCACGCCACCGCAATACCCTCGGAGGCGGGCGTCGCCATCCTGCTTTCGGGGCAGGGCCGATGAAGCTGCGAGAGGTGGGGTGGGGGCCAGCAGAGCAGCGGAGCATCAAACGGGGTGCTTCCCCCGGCGGCCCGCGTGGCAGACTAGCAGCAGCCCTCAGACTCAGCTCCCTGGGGCGGGAGGGGTGGGCTAGCGAGGAGACTGGGAGGATCCCCCTCCCAGGTGTCCGGGGGGGGGGAAGGGGTACTTCCCCCAGGTCCCCGAGACCGCCGGCCCTCCTTCCACAGCTGCGGCAGGGTCCCTGTACTTCCTTTGTCCATAAACTTTGAGTTTGGGAACCGAAAGGGCTAAGAAAGGGCATTTAACGAAAACCACCTGGACCTCTTTCCGCTTCAACATCGCGAAAGCAGGAGGAAGTGAGTGGGGGCCTCCTAAGGACGGATGCGGGGTGACCTTGTTCCCAGGCCCTCCCCACCGCACTGTCACCCACAGGAAGCCAGGCCCAAAGGCCCCTGGAGTTCATCTAGTCCAGCTGTCCATTTTATAGACGGGAAGACTGAGGCCATGCTGGGACCCCCCACGGGCACGGCTGTGCTAATGACTGGGGAAAAGCAGCAAAGGCTAAGGTCCTACTGGGTGCTGGGCACACCGACACCCTCCCTCCAGGGGCAGCCCTACCGGTCAGAGTTCCCAGGATGAGGAGACTGAGCCCAGAGGAGGGGACTGACCTGTCTCGCTGCACAGCCGGTTCGTGGAGGGGCTGAGATCTGGGCCAGCTCTGACCCGGAGGCCACGTACCTCCCACCGTCACTCCCGCCTCCGCCATCAAGTCATTAGTGACTGCGAGCACCTACTGTGTGCCAGAGCCTGTCCCCAGCGGCTGCCACGTGTCCCCATGGGAGGCAGTGACGGAGGAGGCAATGGGTAGGGGGGAGGGGGGCGGTTCCAGGGCTCCTGAGAAGGACACGGACTGCGTCGGGGTTGTTCTGAAGAGCCTCCAGCGGCAGTGACATTTTGTTTGGGCCTGGAGGGCCGGGGTGGGGAACAGACCAGAGGGACAGGGAGAGCACTGACCAGCAGCAGTGACGAGGACACCAGCAGGGAGATGCCCAGGGGCCGGCCCTGTGCTCAGCAGCTATGGGTACCGTCCAGGTGTAATGTCACAACAGTCCATGGGGAGGGGCCCTGGAGGGGACAGCACAAGCCACACAGGTCAGGGCAAAGGCAAGACGTGCCTCTCGGGCCCCTTAATTTCCCCTTACTCCCGCGCAATTTGCCCCGATGCACCTGCTGACCTCAGACCTGTCCCCTGGATGGAAGGCCAGGGCTGGTGCTCAGACAGACAGGATGTCCCTCTGGCACAGGCCCGACACCGCCCAGAACCCCAGGAGCTGGACTCGGAATGAAGCCGAAGGGCATTGGAGGCTGGGGGTGTGAGACATGCAGGGTGGGGAGGGTGTGAGGCCCACAGGCAGGGGGCCTGAAGGCCGGGAGGAGAGTGGGTGCCATGCTGCCAGCCTCGGGGTGTGTGAGGGGGTCTGCACAGGAAGCCCACCACCTAGGGTTCGGACCTCCTGACTGCCAACTCCGTTCCCTGTCCCCGCCCCTCCACCCCAGGCCTCGCCAGCCCCCAGGCTCTGCTGTTCCCTGTCCCCACCCCTCCCTGTCCCCACCCCTGCAGGATGATCAGGAGTTGGCCAACCAGCCCAGGCCCCAGCTTGAGTCTCCCACCTGGCTCGACCATCACCAGGAGTGCAACCTTGGGAGTGTCACGTGGGGATGATGACATGGCCTCCTGAGGTCGTGGCCATGGCAGAAATGACCACGGATGCGAAATGGGAGCTGGAGGCCTTTGGGACCCCCCAGATCTTGACCTCTACCTTAATTTGTTCAGGCCTCAAGGAAACTCCTGGCTCCACTTCCTCTCCCCTCAGACACCCCCGTCCACCAGGGCGCTGAGATGAGGCCCGGCACACAGCTCCCGCTCTGGGGTGAGGACCGGGGTGAGGACCGCAGGAGGCTGGTTGGCGGAGAAGCCCAGGCCCCGCCCCCAGCCTGCCTTCCTCCTCCTGCGTGAATTTGGGAACCCCTAGTCTGTGGGCTGGTCAGCCTGGCCGGCCTCCGGCCCAGCCCCTCTGGAGCCCCAGGAGCACGATGCGGTCCCCCCACTGCTTGCTCCTCACTTCTCGTTTGCTGCATCCTGAGCCTCGGTCTCCCTATCTGTAAGATGGGAAAACGGGCCACCCCGGGGGTGGTATGAGCTTTGCTCTCCTCACCTTTCATTGGTGGCACGGACGGCGGTTACTGAAAAGGGTCACTCGTTTCATCTGCTCTGACTGTGGTGGCTGGTGGGGTGTGCCCCAGGGCTGGGCGGGGGTCCTCGGGTGCGGCTGGATGACGTGCCAGCCACGCTCAGGCACAGCGCTTAGCGCTGACGCTCAGGGAGAAATCCCCGTGGGTCCGCAAGCCACCCAAGTGACAGGGCCGGAGCCAGGCGCCGGCAGTGGACAGTGGGCGGGTGCCTGCTCTCCTGTGAGCCCTCTCTGGGTGTGGGTGTGGGCGTGGAAGGGCCGCGGGCCCCTGGGGGCT